AGTCCAGAATGCACCCTTCGTGATAAACCGCAGGAGTGGAAAAAGTCACCAGACACAACTCCAACGTGATATGTGGTCCATGTATGTACAAGTGGTTTTTTCGTTCGTTCATTCGTTTGCCTGCATCGTCTCCCTTGATTTTGCCCAACTCTCGATGTGATTTAAATCCTTTCGTCAGCACTCATGCTCTCGTCTCCCCAGAGGGCCTCCCCACGCTCGATGGCTTGTTCTCGGGCCTTCCATGCCTCTCTCCAACTTCTGAACTTCTCTTTGAACTCTGGTGGCTCAACCCACTTGAGATTCAAGCCTCTCTTTTTTAACCTTCTTCGGTGCCGCTTCCGCGCCCATACATTCATGTACATCTCCTCATCTTTGGTGAAGTCGTGTCCAGTGACCCAGTCTGATGCCTCGGCCATGATATCTCCTATCTCCTGGCCAATTCTCCACACTATTTCGCGGCCATCTCCGCCCGTCACCCATTCATCGAGCATGAAAGGCGTAGCATAGGGAAAGTATGGTTCATTCGGTGACCAGTCGCAAGGACGATTGGGTGGGCAATCGTATGGGACGACGTAGTGGAAACAGAAGTACGACTCCACCGCATACCAGAGGGCGAAAAGAAGGCTAAGGAGTCCAAATAGAGTCAATTTGAATTTCGGCTCGCGGCGGTACAGATGCGGCATTGAGATGTAGAATGTAGACTCGGTAGAGCCCAAATGATGCTGTGCTTTGGTTAAGCTGGCAAGAGCAGCTTGCATGGTCAGGTTGTCCGCAGATGGCGTTTTCTGCTCAGAGTGTGTCACTTTGTCTTCGAGGCGCTCGATCCCTTGCTTCGCGGAGCGGATGCCTAGCAATCCAGTCTTGAGTGACTTGCTCATCCGGTCAAAAGCCTGAAGCTCGCGTTCACGATCTGTGAGACCCGATAGAGCAAGGTCTTCTTCAAACTTTAGGACTGTATCATCCACCATGTTTTGGAGATCTTCGTCGTCCACATCAACATTGGCGAGAAGCTCGTCAAAGTCATCGAGAGTAGAGTCGTCGAGCCGGTGTTGTTCTATAATGGCCCGAAGGTCCTCCTTGACCGTAGGTATCTTGGCAGTATTGATCAATGGGCGGCGGCGACGTTTCGATGTGGACCGAGCGCGGCGTCCCGCAGGCACTGATGAGGATCTTCCACTCACTTTAGCAACCTTGTCGGAAGCATCGCCATTTGGTGCTTTGATGGATTTCGACTCTATGGGTGCCTTCACGTCGCCGCTCAGAGCCTCTTTGTCACGAGAATTGGAAGAACTTGCAGGCAGGTCGAGAGAATCATCCTCGGATTTGACATCAACCCAGGCTTCATCCCGCTTCTCAACCTTGACCGTGGCCGGCGTGTCCACATAAGCTCCTATGACTCGAGGCGTTGGTTGTGTCAGAGGGTCAGCCTGCTTGGCTGGGCGCGGTGTCTCATCCGCCACCGGTTCCGACTTTTCGGACATGGGTGAGGGAGCACGAATGGAGCCCCGTTCAGAATAGTTGTCCAGGGGGGCAAATAACTTCATCTCAGCCTCTATGCGGTCTGTAGGATCCGAGTCGGAATGTGCCAAGCTTCGTCGCTTTTCTTGGAGAGCTTCGCTGGCTAAGCCCTTATGCAAACCAGCAAAACCCACCGTTAACCGATCTCGGGAATTCTTGGCTCCAAGCTCTTTGTGTTGTCGATCTTCGCGAGCAAGACGTGGGCGGCTTTGCTCTCTCGTGTCTGAGCTGCTCTCCGCTCTGGTATCCTTCGAGAGTGCAGGGCCTGCAGCCTTTGGGGCATCATCTTGGGCAGGTGGAGGACTCTGGCTAGTTGCTCGGGCAAGCCGTCGAAGTAATTCATGGGAGTCATCCTCAGAGCGGGCGTTAATCCCGTCCTGAAACTTTTCATCCTTTCCATTCTGTTTGGAGCTCCGGAAAATTGTGACTGGTGTCCCCGGGATGGCTTCACCTGTCATGGTGGTGGGGCCTGGTGAGGTTTTACTGGGTCGTTTGTCCAACAAATTATGAGGGCTCGTAGAGCCCGGTCGTGGGCTGCTTTTATTCGAGCCCTTCGAAGAGGCCTCTGGCGAATCCGAACGGGAACGGGCTTCAGAGTTCTTGGCTCGGATTTCGTCCAGCCTGCTTTTGGCAACAGCTCGCTTTGATGCTGCTTCCATCTCCAGCACCCGTATTTCATCCAAACGCGATTGCCTCCTTGTCAAAGCGGGACTTGCATCCTCGTTGCGAATGATGGCATTCTTGGCTGCCACTTCCAACTCTCGGATCTGCTGAAGCCTATTATTACCACGGGATGAATGTGAGCTATCTGATATCGGCGAGTCTCCAGCCGTACTGCCCTTGTTCTTGCCAAGCTTGATTCGAGGACTATCGGATATTTGGAGATCTCCTGCAGTGAAATCGGCGTCCAGGTGCCAATTGTAGCTTTTTTCTGGAGACATTGTAGCAGGTCGTGCTATCGGAAAACCCCCCAGTGGTCCAGCAGCTAGTTCACTACCAGGAGTTGGGAACTCCACGGGCGGTAAGGGGGCAAATTCAATCACCTGCTTGACGTCCCTGCGTGTTGGTTTCTCCCAATCTATCGTATCTGTCGGTAACTTCTCCTGTAGGTCTCCATGTCCTTGACTTGGCCGGCGCGTTTGCGAGGCACTGTGCGAGTTACTTGTGCCCCCAAATCGGTTGACTTCAGCCCCATTTCGATTATTTCTAGTCGTGAATAAACCGTCCAGAGGTCCAGCACCTGCCGTGAGTTGATGGTTGCGGTCGAATATTTCTAGATGCTGGTCAAGATCGCCTTTCCCTGCACCGGTGAAATATTGGTTTGATCTCAAATCTTCCGACTCCCTACGTCGGTACGATCGAGGCGCAGGACTTGGCGATCCTTGGATTGCCCGTTTTACCTCCGCATTAGCCATGTTAAAGGCTTGTTTTAAATCGAACGTGCTGTCTCCATCGCTCTTCTCTCTTTCCTCCTGTTCCTCGGCTAGTTTGAATGCAGCTTTCAGTCCAATCGGTTGTCGAGTGCGAGGTGTGGATGCTCTTGGGGATTGGCCGTGATGGAGCGGCGAACCCCTGTCGTGGAGGTTGCTCATCTGCGGTGCGGTTGACCTCGGTCGGGGAATCCTTGTGGCTTGCGGTGACTCTGAATCTAACAAACTGCTAACGGATGCGCTACTCCTGTGTGTTCTTGAGGATCCAAGTAAGATTGGACTCTCCCAGCCCTGTGGTCTCCTAGCAGCACCACTGCCAGATATCACCGGAGACGCGTGTCTCCTTCCCTCCCACGCGAAATTCTCTTTAGAATCGCTGAGCCTAGGGCTCCTTCCTTTTTGTCCTATATTTTGTGTCGAGTGTTTGTTGTTGTGTCCTCGTCCGTTTGGTTTCGTAGAAGCAAGTACGTCAGTTGGTTTACGCTGGTCGCGATTCATCATGCTGCTGATTGCGGTCTCCTCACGGGATAGTGATGTCGGCGAGGATACCATTAAGTGGGAAACGGCATGATTCGGCGGTGGGCGAACACATGTCTTTGGCGAATGGCCATGCGCCTCAAGCCATCAACAACGTGATGCGCCCAAACGGTATGTGTCAATGTTATGAGCGGGGTGTGCGTATCGGTATGCGGTCGCGATCGAGAGGTGCAATTTAAAACCTTGGCGCCAGCGGTGATTAGGATTGAATGAAAGAGAAGAAAGGGCACCGATCGTGTCAGGAAGCTAGATGAGAGAGGCCTTTGCGGTTTGATCGCGGCCTGGTCAAATACTCTTTCGGCTGCTGGTGTTGTTGTTCCTACACTGGGACTTTTTTAGGGTGGAGCAACTACGAGCGCGTCAGAGCTTAGAGAAGCTGAGAACCGGCGCCCTGATTTTAAACCTTGTCCCAGCCCAAAAAAGCTCCATTCACTCAGCAGCCAATGATCCTCGCTGCCGCCTAAGTTAGACAGGTTCGCGCACGAGCCACAGCGTTCAACCCGTCCTTTAGTCGTCATTCCCCTGTCGACCTGCCCAATCAAGCGCGGCAGACCAGAGGAAAACACAACCCAGAAAAGCGCGTAAAACGTAGGTATAGTCGCCACAACCTTCGGTCTGGTCGCCCGACCTGTAGATAAAAATTTGAGTTGGTTCTGGTACATGCCTGACGTACCTGGTGTTGAATAGAGGACAGTGAATATAACTTTTCTATTTTGTTAACTCCACAGACCACGAATCACACTCAATCGGCTCATGATTCCCACTGGACCAAGATCGGAAGGGGTTAAGTCACAATCTCGTACCAAAATATATAGTCTAACAATTTTTATGATGATCTGCATCTGAATATAGTAGTCATAGGAACCGCGGATTTCCATGACCCAAGTCAAAAGTATGAGTCCGGCGTATAACTTTATTTTGAAATAACAATGAGATTGCCCATGCCCTTATGTACAGATATAGAGAAAATGGTTATATGATTAAGAAAAGCCATGAAGGAAGGCAGGTAGCTATTCTTTGCCTCAAACTACCTTGCAGTAACCACTCTTTAGCATTGCTTATAGTCTTTTCAAAATAGTCTAATGCATCCAATTTTCTTTCCGCTATGGACAGCACATAACTAGACTATGCTCTATATTCGATTCAAGCCATCACCTAGTGGTGGCATTGGAACAGAACATGTTAAATACCATTCACCGTGTCTTCTTCCTGATGGTAAAAGAAGACCACATTTTGCCTGCATTTTTTACGGTGCTTTCTGTATTTTGCGCTTCTATATCCCATTGCTTTACATGCAACACCGATATATCAAAAAAGAAGAAAATTTTGTCCTTTGTCTCCAACGACTTACTATACTCCACCCAGACCGCGAGATTTCGATATATCCCAAATCCCAGGTAGCCTTGTACTCTTACATAATTACCTACGTAAACAAGTCTTTATGCCTAGGCTAAACGGTGGTTTGAGTGATGGGCAGAGGCAAAAAGGAATTGGTCATCTGAGAGGTAAAATTCAAGGCGTCACTGGGGATCGAACCCAGGCTTCCGGAATGATAGCAATAATCAAAATCCGATGTCCTGACCACTAGACGATGTCGCCATTTGTTTAGTCGCTGCGGACTTTCTATTTCACGTAATATCGTAGGCGTTCCCACTTCACTAACTTAGAGGAGAAGCTCTGCTCCATTCCGGTCGGCGACGAGTCACCCCCGTCGAATGTACTAAACCAACAAGCTTTTCTCGCGAACGTTCCTACATATTGCTCAGATTTGTAGTAACAGCACAGCTTAGTTCCCGGCAATAGTTTTGTGACCTTCTTATTTTCCTCATCCTCAAACCCATGACATTGGTAACACGTCCTTCTTTCATGATGCATAGATTTGACATAACCTTTCTTCATTTTCCAAGCTCTCGGGTTGCACATCACGCTTTCATAATTTTACAGCCGTGGTTGTATAGTAGTCACCATTAGAAGATTGGCGTTTCATTCGACATCTTCTGCTTTGCCACAACGGTCCCGCCGTACCAGCACTGTGCTGGATGATACTCTTGGACATTTCCCTAGAATTCCCGTCATAATGGAAGATGTAGCACTGGTCGATACTTCACCACTGACCTGGAGATCCTCCATGGCAGTATTGTAGACCTGTAAGCAGATATTTAGTCAGCATGCTACGTCTTAACATCGCCTGCGTGACCTCTTTTTTGATATGAATCCAAGTCCCGTGGGGGTTGCCACTTACTGCAGACTTGCTGGCATTGGGCGATACAATTATTGTCATTATTACACTGTTTGTACATGCAATTCGAAGCACAGATGAAATACTGAGACGGAGTGTCATCGCTGGCATTGCAGCCCTCGTTTCGGCGTACTAGGGAATCGGCAGCGATTGTTTGGCCCCTCCCAGGAATCGACCACGCCAGTCCAGCCTGAATGGCAACTGCCAGAGCGAAGACAGAGAACCTCATTTTGGGGGGGGCTTTGATATTTTGAAAAAAGAGTGTTGATGATTTAAATTTTCTTTTCTTTTTCAATTCTAAACAATTCCAGGACGAGGGAGGATATTGGAAAAGCCAGCTTGTGTAGAAGAAAAAAGGTATGATAGCTTGTGGCAAGAGTATTACATGAGAAAAAAAAGTGTAGGGTGATCAACACCAAGCCCGAATATGTTTGAGTGGTTGGAATCTCCTTCAGCGATCAAGAACTCCAAAATTATCGACGTAAGTTCTGTTCGACGGCAGGGAAGTTGTGGTACACCAGCAATGTCTCTAATATCCCGGCGGCACAAGACCACAGGGAGGAGGGCGCCCGAAACCAATGACTAATTGGGCCCTTTACCAGATTCCAAACTTCTCAGGCAGTGAATACTTGACAATTTCGTAAGAGGGACACTGAGCGCGCTATTTGCTCTAGATTCCAAAGGAGTTACACGACATCTCGGCTGAGAACCCTTTCAATGGCCACGGGACAGTCCCCATGCCTGTTTGTTGACATTGAGCACACGTTACAGCTCCCTAGTTGGTCAGATACGGTCTCACTTCCTCAATTCTATCGCAAGGACACAATTGACTTGTAATACCTCAAATATCTCATGCATGATGAACTGGGGAAACCGGAATTCGTCGGGCGGTGCGTTCAAAACTCGTTGAAAACAATTTGGACGTCTACGCCATTAGGGTATCATATCAAATCGCTATCTCCGCTAAGAACATCATTTTTAACTCAATGCTACTTGCCCCTGACTCTGCGGATTACCACTTTGCTCCCGTCTAACTCCCACCCTACATTCTCGTTACTGATAAGGTCCATCCATCGGCGATCGGCGCATCTCTCCAAGAACTCAAGCTCGACGCTGAGATAGCTTCTCCCAAAGCACTTAAGTGTATGTCTGCGCATGTCCTCTTCCGCGTACTCTAGAAGCTTCGCTTTGTGCCCATCGACAGTCATGCGTAGCTTCCTCAACAGTACATAGTTATCGTGCGCCAGAGCGCTTAGAACGTTATCAACCTTCTGATCCTTGAGCCTATACCGGTGCCGTAGCGCGTAAGCCTCTGCTAGGTCGTTCCTCCGACATGCGGTGTCGAGGATGAGATACCCAACAACCTCACTGGCTTCGACACTCGTCATGGGGCTTGCCGGATGTAGCTTTTTCAATAGATGCAAGATGGCTGGATGATACGATTCGGGGTTCTTGACCAACACAGACAGTCGGATGCAGAAGAGATAGACTTGAACAGCAAAATTATCAGCGCGCTTAGCGGCCACAATGCCTTCGCGGAGTTTTCTGAGCGCCGCCAGCACGTCAGACAGCCCCTTGGTGTTGGCAGTCATGATGGAGGCGAACCCCGTCGGAAACGTAGGGGCAACTGCGGCGTGATGCGTTGCTGGCCTCACCGGCTCGGTGCGCGGCCGCTGGTCCACATCATTGTGCATGCTAGAGTTGATGCCAGAAGCAGAAGCCCCGCCCTGAGTTGACAACCCAAGTGAGGCGAAGCGACGCAGCAATTCATCGCGCTCGCCAGCATCAGAGCAGAAAGTCATGTACCGCTCGACGATTTTAGTGTAGTAACGCTCCTGCGTCTTGAAGTCGAGCAGCCTGTTGTCACCCTTGGAAGGAAGCCCCATCGCGTCTAGCGGATCGAATTCCACCGGCTTCAGGCGACTCCATGGCGCAGAAGGAGCTCGACCTCCCCGGGACCCGCCGCGGGATCCCCCCCTTGCGGCACCGCGTCCGCGCATGCTCATGCTCTCATTTCCAACCGGCAAGATCTTGGAGGAGGGTCCGAATGGGTGTGGGCGCGGGTTACGGAGCCTCAGTTGAAGTCTGGACCTAGAACTGCTGAGGGGTGTTTTGGCGGGGTTTGGGAACTTGCAATTGGGCGTAGCTGTGTTTTATTTCGTTATCTTATCACCGAAGCAACGTTCAGCATGCCATACAACGCGACCTACAGTACAACGAAAGCGAATCATTTTCGCGCCTCGTTCAAGTAAAAACGTCATTAAAAGAGAAGAGGTGCTATAATTGGTTTTTTTTTTGTGTCAATTGAACTACTACCTTTTTTGAACCTTTTATAGAAAACCACGCAAGTAGTTACGAGTTCATGGTCAAAAAGCATCCCATACAGTACAGGTCATGCGGGGGGTTTCCCGTTAATGGACGGGGCTATTTAAAAGTTGCCGTGTTGCAACTCCAGCAAAAAAGTTAAAGCTCGACGGACTAGGATCGAGCACTTACACGAAAACAGCAAGTGCAGCATTACCATGGTAAGCCTGCAAGAGATACAAAGACAAAACGTAGCCGGCAATAAGAATGGCATGATAGAGACAATGCCGAGATCAGTGACAGGGCCAGTTCCCGGGACTATATAAGCATTGGGGAGAATCCAGGTAGTATTCTGAAGTCCCCATAGACCAAATAACCACCCCTGCCCCCCGGGTAACTGGTCCCGCGGGGAACCTCGGCACCCGCCTTTGACAGATTGGGGTTTCGGGGAGGGGATTCGATTCCCGCGAAACCTTCGTTAAAGCTTCAGTCTTATCATCACTTCTTCTCGTGGCCTCTGCAGAAACAGCCTTTGGGAGGACAGTCTTGTTATCATTTTACATTGATCTCGGTGGATCCCAATCACACCCCTTAGCTAGTTCACCACAGAATCACGCAAATATGGCGGACCGTGTGTCTCAGATCGCGAAGCACTTGAACTACCCCAAGGGCTTGCTCGCCGGCCAAGTGGCCATCATCACCGGCAGCGGTCAGGGAATTGGTGCCGAAGCTGCACGGCTCTTTGCAAACGAAGGCGCCAAGGTGGTTGTGTCAGACATCGATGCCAGTAAGCTACCATGCTCTCTAAACATCCACCTAGTTCACCACGACCGAGGAGACCGTTTACTAACACCGATCCTTTCTTTTCTCCCTGTTTGTAGAAAAGGCTGAGGACGTGGCCGCCAGCATCAACTCTTCGGGAGGCTCTGCGACTGCCGTCGCGGGCGACCTCCTGGACGATGCCTACATTAAGCGCCTGGTCAAGCAAGCGGCGGAGTTCGGCAACGGCAAGATTCACATCATCGTCAACAATGCCGGCTTCACGTGGGACGGCGTGATCCACAAGATGACGGACAAGCAGTGGGACACGATCATCGCGCTGCACGGCACCGCGCCCTTCAAGCTGATCCGCGAGGCCTCGCCCTACTTCCGCGTCAAGGATGGCGAGCCCCGCAACATCATCAACATCAGCAGCACCAGCGGCATCCACGGCAACGCCGGCCAGGCCAACTACGCCCTGGCCAAGGCCGGCGTCGCGGGCCTTACCAAGGCCATCGCCAAGGAGTGGGGGCCCAGCTTCGGCGTGCGCGTCAACACCATCGCCTTTGGCCACATCCAGACCCGCCTCACCCAGGCCAAGGAGAAGGGCGCCTTCATTGAGGGGCCTGGCGGCGAGAAGATCGCTCTGGGCATCCCTGAGGCCCAGACCAAGGCCGCGGGCCCGCTGATGCACGCGGATATCGCCCTGAGGAGGCCCGGCACGGCCACCGAGGCCGCGAGTGCCGTTCTGGCGGTCGTGAGCCCTCTGTTCTCTTATGTCACTGGGCAGACCATCATGGTCACTGGCGGCAGAAACATGTAAAAAGCGTTTTGTACAATTTCTATTTTGGTAGACCTTTCTTCTGCGTTATCTGGTCTTCCTTTTTTTTTTTTTTTTTTTTAACATGGGATAATGAAAATCACATTCTCAACGTCAGCGCGTCTCAGCAAAAATATACGTTCATAACTGAGTCCTCATTGGGTGAATTTGTACACGTTCGTAAGCCGTAGCTCTGGGTGTTACAGTATTAGTATTCTTCATATTTTGGTATTGTTGCGAACCCAAACAAAAAAAATTCCGACGCCAGCTAGACAAACTTTGCCCGGTCCCCTGTACAATAGCTCGGAACCATTTCTCATCGGTGTTGGTATTTTGGAGCGATCCCGCACGCTCCGGTGCTCATATTTTACTCCTACCCATAGTTCAGCTCGCCATATAGAATCTTAGACCTTCAACCACAGGTTCAACACGCCCTTGGCGTACTCCACAATCTCATCACCACCAAGCTTGCTCTCG